GAGCTGTGTTGTGCAACATGGCAGAGGATGTAAAGTCATTTCAAACATGGACTTCGTACTCATTTACATGTTCCAATATAGCCTTTGGATGATGTTACTATGAATTTCTTTATTGGATTTGATGAGGTCATCAGATCAGTGGCTGAATCGGAGCTCCATCAAACATGCAAGTCAAGCCACTATGATCCGACTAGGACACATGTGCCTTTCAAGGAGTATACCGAAGCAGCCCGAAGGAGTTAAAAAACAAATAAACTTATTCCAGAGATTTGACTCATCAGAGCTTCACCAAGAAGTGGGACTGGGTCAATAGGAGTTCAGACCAAACCGGAATCGAATATACAAAATTGGTGATTCCAGACTACCCAACTAGCGAAGCTATTGCAGACCTGTGTTCCTTGTTCGATGCCTTGCGGCTCAACCACGAAGATACAAAGAATGAGAAAACCTGGAACACATTCTCATCTTACCTAGAGAACGCCTCTAAGTGGAATCAACAAATTTGGAGTTCAAACGAAGAAGTTATTTAGTTTTCAAATCAAATGATCCTGAAGTTACCCGAATTGGACATACACGCGTTGTTTCGAGGTTTTTGACCAAACCAGAGGTAATTGATAAGCAAAAAGACTTGCTATGGAATCTTTATCCAACATATAGAATATTGGAGAGTTGGATTCGCTAATAACAGTTTCTGTTTGGAAGTTATACAATTTCTAAACTAGAAGATCCTAGGCTTTCCTTATTTGAAAACTTCCAGATTTGGGCGACTTCAAATGTATCTTTGGCGACCAAAAGACATGCTCCATCAACTAGGTGCTTTAAAGGACGTCATTATAAATCCACCAAAACATAGAGGGTCAGTTGGGATCACTCAAAGCACCACTTGCCTTATTTGAACCCAAGTGCATTCAACACATTCACACTTGGTGCTTTATCTCTCCAACGGACCTTTCTTCTAAGATGCTGCATTTTGGATACATTTTCAATGATTCTAGACATCCCAATACATCACAACGTCATGCCCAAACTTTCAAGATAGAAGGAGCCTCTAAATACCTTATTTGCCCAGATTTCAATTTCCCACTGCTAGTTTTTCTTTTAATTTTGCGATTTGATCAATTTCTTATTTTAGGCTAAGAGAACGTTGTGTAAGAGCTCTATATAAAGCTCATATTGTTTCATGTAAAAAAACCACCTTTCATCATAGATTTAAATAAAGTATTTTTGTCCTCTTTCAAAAGACCGAGTTATTGAGAGATTTTCTTGTTCTTTAGAAAGTAATTCTGAGATTCACTTCCTTTCTGTTGAAGTTGCGAAGTAAGTTTGTTTGTGAGATACAAACATCGTTTTCCGGTCACTCATTCAACCCCTTCACCATCTCATCTCGACCTTTGTTGCACCTTCCGCGAGTTTAGGTTTGAAATCTCTTGATCATTGAGTGATCTTAAGTTGGAATGATTC